ACGCCACTGTACAGCATATCATTGAGGTATTCGATATTTTTAATCATAGTAAAAACCGAGGTAAATACGCTGGCTGAAAGGATGGTTTAGAATGGAAAAGTTGAAAAAATTAATATGGTTATGTTAAATAAACGATATTTTAAAAACAAAGGCAAATATAAAAATTTTGAGAAATTGGTTTCTTAATAATATGTCAATGATTAAAGTGAACTAAACAAATGAAACTTCAAATGATTATTTTTAATATTATGCACCTTTGAATGTAAAAATCCGTGAGCCATTAATAAATTATTTCGAAAATGGGCGATTATTAGTACGCTACTGGACACCACATTATTTTACTATTTTTTCCATTGAAAATAAACCAGGATATCGTGGGGTATATCAAACAGCAGCATAAGTTGCAAGATTTATTGTACAGGATGGTTTGGGTGCTTAAAAGTTGAAAAAAGTGGAGGTTATGAAAAAAAGTCGATATTTTTAAAACTAAGGCAGTTATAAAAAATTTGAGAAATTACTTTTTTTGCAGAAGATCATTGATTAAAACGCCGCATAGAAATAAAATTTAAAAAATTATCTGAGAAAGTTACACACATTCAAAATTGGGATGAAAATCATGGACTATTTTAACACCCTGTATAAAAAAAAAGTAGACATTTAAAAAATTTTCAAAATAGCAATTTTTTTCACAAAAAGTCAATCTATTAGCCCGTGAAAACCGAAGGTCGATATCTAGTCTGGTTCCAAAAATATCGAGCTTGAAAGTTACACGATATTTCCCTTGTTCGAAAGCAATTGTCCAGCAGTTTATTTCCGTTGTGAGTGACATTAACTTAGGTGTATCTCTATTAAAGGGAGAATTATTATCCAGCCATTCCAAAAGCTTCGTAACATCATTTTTGTCCCGCTGTTTTCTAGAATCTCGAAACTCAATATGCTGCTCAGAATAAATAGCTTTTGTTCCAGAAAATTCCTCTATAGCATTAGACACTTTTGCACATTCAGGCATGGAAGAAACCCATTTCGCTAAAGTACTTTCAGTTAGTCCTCGACCCCGAGTTAACCTACCTTCTGCTTTCAAAGACCTCATTAGTACCTGTTCTATTGTCATGTCTGTCCAAACCCCAGACCATAATTTATTAGTAAAAAAACTTCGGAAATTTTGATATTCGCCTTGTGTCCAAGGTAACTGAAATGTTTTTCATCTGTTGAAAATATATATGGGATGTTTTTGCATAGGCCGAATGACCAGTTGCGTGAAAAATGGGTATCATAGAATGAACGCAGTGCAAATGTAAGTCCAAGTCTCCTGACCTCTCTGCTCGAATGAACATTTTCGAAAGTTCGACCAAGTCCCAATACTGAACCCAAAGCTTAGCAGTTCTGGTCTTCCGACTTAGTAACAGAAATTGATTACGAAGCTCATTTGAGATATGAATAATAGATGTATTTTTCAAATCTTCCTCGGTTTCTAAATGAAGCATTCTTACTTCGTAACTGACAGTATCGTCTACATCCCAGAATTTTATTGCATGTTGTTCAGAGGTAAAGGGCTAACTGCATAAGGAAATGTGCACGCAAGGCTCTCAAAAAAGAATATCCACTAATCATTGCAGGTATGCTATTTTTAGCGTATATGATGTTCCACATTTCTTCCATTCCACTTCCAGTCATCAGATATCCAATTGATCCTAGAAAAGACATTAGCATGTGGAAACCTCCCAGTCGTATGATTAGAGTTTTGAGGTTGCTATCACCTTCTGTTGCTAACACCAAAAATTACCACCATATCTACCGCTTACAAAGGTTGATCAAACGTCACGAAACACATCTTTTGACCTTGCTTTTCAGTTTGGTTTGCAGCAAACTGTAATGCTGAATGAATTGTCGTTAAATTACTGGGATCCAAATTTATAAGCGGTGAGGGTATTACACAGCTTACCTTAAAACAACCAGTCACAGTGACTGATATATATACATTCCAAGACAGTCTACGTTCAAGTTCACACAAATGGTGAGAAATGAGATGCCATCCACAAGACAAGCAATTATATAGTTGCAGTTGTTTGAATTTTTCTACGGGTAATTCGAAAGTTATGAGTTCAGCTTCAATATTCTTCAGTCCTAAACAATTTTTCCCGTATGGTGCAAGTGGAATAAAACCAAATTTACCAAGATGTTTTACTTTTGGCTGGGCTATATTTTTTGAAAAAGAAACTTCACTACCCGGTGGTATGCAAACAATGCCACGCATAGAGTGAAATGTTCCATAGCCTTCCAGGGTTTGTATATTGAAGTCGGCATTGTCAAAGACAAACTGTTGAGAGGCATTTTGTGTACGCTTGTACTCACTACTAGAGACAGCTGAGGCTTTCCTGTATGCAACGGAAAATCTTAATGCTGAAAGATAGTCAATTTAATTTTTCGAGCCATACTTGCGATGAAGATGTACTCCTGTTCCAAACAGAACAGGTGATAAATAAGATAAATAAGATCACACGCCTCACAGCCGCAACCAAGGAAGGCGTTGGCTATAGCTATATTTTTTACTTGATTGTTTCCAGTAATATTTTGAGCAGATAATATCTTCTTAAAAAATTTTAGCGGTTTCCAAGATTATGTTACCTTTCTTTTCGAAAAAACTTAGTTTTGTGTTACTAAATATATCTTTCATCATATCAAAGTAATTGCCTTTGAACCAGAAAATGACAGGAAAAAATGGTTTTTCCCTCTGAGGTTTTTCCACAGGTACTATTTTCATTTTGTAGTGTTCAAGTAGTTTTTCCCTAACATACACTTAGGAGTCCAAAGTTGAATATCATCATCTTTTGATAATGTCGATAAGCAATACAGAAAATATATTTTTTGATACTTCCACAAAATAGAAAATACACGTTAATTGTAAGCTAATAAGTTCAATCGCGCGCGCTGATTCACGGATATTTTGGAAATAGACATATCCAACTGTCTAGCTTGCGCCTACTAGGTGCATTAATAGGCCGGTTGGAGACAAGTTAACATGATAACATTTTTGTATTTGTATGAAATTTACGTTGCCTTTTCTTCTTAATTTCACCGCGAAAACTAAACGCTTACGCACCAACTATGCATTATGTTGCTTACCTGTTTTTAACAGCTATTACACACCACTGATTTAACTGATTAATGCACGTTCTCGTAGGTCATTTAATTTGGATTTATTTTGGTTATTATCATTTTTCATAAAAGTCAATTGTATTGGAGATATTTAGCAAAATACAAAGATTTTTGGGGTCTGAGTGTCTGAATAAAAACTAGATATTTTGAAGACTTAGTGTACGACACTGGTATAATCGAACACTACACTTATACGTATATACCATTTGGTAGGTAATTTTATTGGCTTTCTTTTTGATGCAAAGCATTTTTCATCAAAGAGTACCGTTTTCGAGATATTGAGTGAAAACTAAAAAATTGTACCTTGAGGGGTGGTTTTGGGGTGGCTTGCACCCTCGGAGGAGTGGTGACTTTTAGTACCTATGTTAATCTGGAGCACAAACACTAGACATTCCCGCAAAAATCAGCTTTAGGTCATTTTGTTCCACGAGCACCATAGGAATGAAAATAATGTTCCTGGCCTAATAAGACGCACACAATTTACACTGTTTCTAAAATGGACCTAAGTATTTATTAATAAATATCAACAATTTTTAAGTGTAGAGGAGAGGGTATCCCAGATAAAAATGCAATCCAGGAGGAAGGTAACAATTGGAAAAAAGTATCTTTCTGCTGAGCTGGATCACTTTGTGCAAATAAAAATATCTGAATGTAAAATGTTGTTGATAAAACATCGGGTTTCAAATTTGATATTGGTAGGTACCTATACCTTGTGAAAACTACGTAATATCTCTGTTAATAGTGCCTATGAAAATGTGGTACTGATATGATATTCTGCCAAAATAACGCCAATTAAGAATAAACGCAAAATATCTCTTTTGTTGCGATAATTTCCGAAATATTTACAATTATTCTCAAAATGTCATAACATATTACTCAGCTTAGTAGTTATAGGCGATAAAAACTTTCATTCTAATTTACCTTTCTCTAATGGTTTATGAAATACCTTAATCTTGGACTGTATATGGGTTTCAATTTCAATCTAAAAATTACCAACCTTTATTATGTCAGAAAGTTAGGAAATAAACGTTTCAGCAGTATTTTATTCTTTGTGAGTGGAAAAGCATTTCCGCAAAGCCGTGCATCTTTAGTATTCTTGTATAGATATTTTTCGTAAACTTATGATTCTAAACGAAATTTGAGTCATAATTTTTGTCATTTATGTAAAAACAATAACTTAATATTTTGAAATGCCTAGGGGACACCCAAAAAAATAGTTTTTTTTTTCTAACTTGGAATAATTTCTGAAATAACAAAGAAGGACAGTTTTCAAATTTTTTCTACCGTTAATTAAATATGGTCAAAATTGTCACAGGCTTACTTACACCAAACTTTGCTTACACTGATCTTTATACAGGATGACTCCCGATAGATCTGAATATTGTAGTTCCCGCAACCATTTATTATGCTGATTGCCTTTTCTATAGCAGGTTTTGGTTTTGCTGAAACAATGTTAGAAAAGCTAATTCTTTTTTGCAGTAGGAATGTTATAATGCTATAAATTCATATGGAGGGGGAGCTGGTACCGTTTCTAGCAGTGATTATTTATTTCATGTTTTAAGCAAGCATTGCCATTCATATGTTCACTGACTGATTCTGTTATTCACATTTAGAAACGGTATATGGACCAAGTGTTATTTTTGCTTACTTATTATTATTTTTTTAATTCGTAATTGTGCTTAGAGCTTTAGTCTGCGGGTGCACAGTGGCTATTTTACAATTTTTCTGGATAATAGGTATATGTTTGCTTTCATGATTCTTTTGTAACTACGAGCTTAGCTATGGTTAAATTTTACTCATAACTCTAAACATATATGTAATTTTTAAACTAGTTAATTTTATAGGAAGTTCTCAGAAGAGGAGTCACAGAACGATCAAGACTACTAGGAGAATCGTCATCCCAATCCCAAGATCAAGCCATTGGATTCTTAGGAGCCCTCAAAATCCCAGGAGTGATAGAGTTCTCTTTGTCTCTATTCTTTGCCAAATTAGTCAGTTATACGTTCCTGTATTGGTTACCACTTTACGTTAACGCTTCGAGTAAGAACTTAGATACCTAAATGCTTAACTTTTTTTATTCTTGAACATAAAAAAAAGGAAATTTGGTACTGTATGTACAGTGTGGTCATTTTATCTTGATAACATTTCAAACTGTCATAATTTCTTTATTTTTGAAGTTATTTGAATAAATAAAAAAACACACTGTAGGGGTTTTCTCCAAGTTTTAGATAGAGTGGACAAAAAACAAAAGACTAATATATTTTGACAGTTATGCACACAAATAGCACCCAGTAAATGTTTAGTTTGTTTGATAATATGTTTTATTCTAATTGCAATATATAATTATATTAACTTAAATTCAAATTGTGTTTTTAAAAACTTTTATTTTTAATTAAAACACGAAATTACATTGATGTTGCTACGTCAAAGCTAACTTAAAGACTAATTTCTACAACGCTGCAAGGCTATATTTATAATAAAGATAAATGCTGTATAAGCAAAAGCTTGCAAAAACTCCTTAAATTAATAATGTGTCGTCAGAAGTGGCCATATAATTCCTCCCTCACTAAGATTGAGAAAATTGGGGATGATTTTCGAAAGGTTTCAATTCTATGCCCACTTTTACATCAGTTTCATTTTTCTTCTTCTGACAATAATTATAATGACGACATACAAAAAATACTATAACTATGATTACAATGGCTAATAAAATAATTACAAATACAGGGTGAATCCGAAAATGAGGCTTTTAACGGGATGTATACCTCACCAAAATAAGTTGTTTGGCAAAAAATTGTTTACACAAAAAATTTAAGATAACTGAGTTACAGGTATTTCAAAGTCTTAAGAAGACTCCAGGGTCCTTATTCTCCAAATATGGGAGCAGTGTTCTTATGAGAACGAAGGTCCTATCTTCGCCGCCCTACTTCTCCATACTCATGTTTGCATAACACTGACAAAGACCAGATCACTCGTTCTCATGAGAACTCAGTTCCCCAGTTTCGAGAATAGGCATCCAATTATAAAACATTTAGTTTAAATTTTCTCGGAAAAAAGCAGTTATTTGTCCAGCATAATGAGTTTTTTTCGATAATAGGTAATCTACAGTTGCATTATTTCATCAGAAAAATCAATCAAAAACTATTTTTTCCATTTTCAACCTAATCATTTTTATATCTTTAAATACCTGTACCTCCGTTATCTTACATTTTTTATGTAAAAAAAATTTTGCCAAACATCTTATTTTAGCGAGATATATACCCTGTTAAAAAAAAGCCTCACTTTCAGATTCACCCTATATAGATAAATTAGAACTACCAATATCGAATTCTTTAAGAGGATGGACAATTAGCTTTTTAGCGTTTTCCAAATCTTCTCTTATAGTTTCAAGATTTATTTCGGTTAATTGTAAGGGCTCGATATTTGCTATTAACTTTTCGTCAATATTGATTGATGATAGTTTCAGTCGCAAATTAATTATGTCTGGTTTTTGGGAATCATAATTATTTTCGTGAATTTTGACTTTACAAATTGATGGTAAAATCAATGAAATATTACTTATGACTTCAACACTATGTTGGCTAGGGCATTGGAAGTAAATGCTCTCTTTTGATGTATGATGAATAATTATAAGGGAATTGTCATCTAATTGTGTGGTGACAAAAGTTTCCTTATATTTGATAGAAGTCATTGGGCAATGATTGGTTAAATTCATCGTTTGATAAACGCAAGGCTCATTTTGATTGAGTAAGTTAATATGGCATAAAGAAATGTCTTCGATTTTAAGACAGTTTTCTTTTATGTTATAAAAGTTGTCATTTGATCTCATCAAATAAGGGTTTCTTAATATCGCTATCTGGTTGTGTAGTGGAATTGGATATATACGATAAAGAATGTACGGTTTATCTGATATCAAAGGAATTGCAACGTAGAATATAATTAGGTCATTTTTAATGGTGACGTCTGCGTGTGCAACTTCATAATATTTTATAATGTTGTCGAAAAGTATTCGAGAGCTGGGGTCAAATTTCGAGATTATGGCTCGTAGCTCTTGATACTTAAATATACTGTGATGCATTATGTTTATTTCAGCGAAATTAATTGCCGTTTGTACACTGGTACGTGTCTCATGAATGATACGTAGATTATTTTCTAAGTCATCAAGAAAGAGAATAAAGTACTTCATTGTTGTTTCAGACTGTGTTATTGTCATGAGTTCATTAACTCGGTTTAACAATGTATCTTGGTTACTTTTGATTGTATTAAATTGTGTATCAATATCTTCAGTCAATTTTTTAACAATTGGCTGGGTTGAAGATATGTCTTGTTGTAATGTATTTTGGTTTTCTTGGAGGGTTCTGATATAAGTGTCATAACGTTCTCCGTCATTAGCATCTAACGTGCCGTAGAGGTATTTTTGAGTCTTTCCTAAAAAGTTAAAAAGTCCTCTTTTGGTCCTTTTTTGTGGAGTTATATAATGATCGATAAATAATTCGATTGATTTTACTTGATCAATTAAATTATTTGTTCTTAGAATTAAGAGTTCGTATAAAGGTGAATAAGGTGACATAATACTTGAATTGCTTAGAGTTTGATTAACTTGCAAAAGGGTTAATTTGGTAGACTCTATACAATCTTTCATATTAGTTAAATTAACATGGTAATAAACATGATGATAGTTGGTAATTATATAACTAGTTCCTTGGTAGACTGGTAGCAAAGGATTCGTTATTTCTTCGATCTTATATTGAGCATTGATGAGTAGCGGTAGTACTGTGAAGAATGCGAAGATTGTGAAGATTATCTTCATATTTTATTCCTGAAAATTACGATCTTCTTTTAATATCTTTAGGATGTCTTTGATTTTTGAATATAGCTTTCTTATACTTAGGTTGTATTTTTAAAGCTAATTTTCGCGGTGTACTTATAAGTTGTGGTTTAGCTTCGGGTATTTCTGGGTCATTTTCACGTTTTTCATTCAATTTACTTAATACATTTGCCTTTTTGGCATTCAATTTTGAATTTATTTTGTCATTAAGTTCCTTGAATGTTTGAGCAAGCTCATGAACGTAATCAGTTTGTAGCTGATTTAGGTCTTTTTCAAAGTTTAATTGATAATTGACGTTTCCTTTTAATATTTGAAAAGGGGTGTAATCATGTGCTGAATGAATACTGTTGTTATAGTTTAAAATTGCTATATCAATTAATTCTTGAATTGTTTTGGTACGATGGTCAATTCGTAAAGCTTTCTTTTATCGTCGAATGAAATCGTTCTATAGGCGAATTAGAGTTGGGGTTGTATGGTGTTGTAAAATGCAATTCTATCTTATATGTTTTACAAAGGTCTTGTATTAGATTACTCTTGAAAGTTTGTGCATTATCGGTGGTAATTTTACTTGGTGTACCATGATGCGCAAAGAATTTTATCAAACTTTGACAAATTTCTATTGATGTTTCATTTACCGGGTATGCTGCGGCAAATTTAGAAAAATTGTCTATTATCGTTAGATATTTCTGTCCTGATAATGAGTATATGTCCATATAGATATGCTCAAGGGGTTTTGATCCCGTTGGTGTTGGTTTATAAACTACATTGTAAGGATGTCTCTCATATTTAGATTTCTGACATATTTCACATGTATTTACAAAATTAATTACATCTCTTTCTAGACTCGGCCAATAATATCTTTGCTTGATATTCTTGATATTTTCAGTCATTCCTCTATGTGAGGTTTTCGTTGTATGGTATCTATCTATTATCTCTTTCTGATCGTCTTGATTTATTACATCTTCTAGTAACGTGTTTGAGATGACTAGTTTGTATGAATCGTTTTTGAATGTTTCCTGGAAAATTCTTATTATCACAGGTTCTAATTCTTTGTTTGGAAAATGTAGACAATAGGTATCTGGTTGCAAATAATCTCTTAGGAGTATTTGTATTTGTCTAGTTGTCGGGTTTTTATTTACAAAAATTAAAATTCTCTTCTTGGTTTCGAATAACTTTGTTATATTTACATAAGGTTTTTCTTTGGCTGTCCATTTAAAAATAACTTGATTTTTAAATGTATTCACTGCCTTATTAACATAGGGTGCACCTAAAATTGGGTTTTCTTCAGAAGTATGAACTGTTTCTGTTTCTGAGGTGTTTGCTGTATCCGTCTCGGAATTGTGTACTGTTTCTGGTACTGTTCTTTTATTTGGTGTTTTTTCATTAGGCGTTATGTCCTTAAGTATTCTTTCATCAGGTGTTCTTTGTTTACTCGTTGATGGTTGAGGTGTTCTTTGTTTACTCATTGTTGGTTGAGGTTGAGATTGAGGTTGAGAAGTTTTTTCTTTACTCGTTCCTGGTTGAGGAGTTCTTTGTTTTTGTTCACTTATTTGAGGTGACTTCTCTCTTTCAATTGGTGGTTGTTTTTGGTCATTTGGTTTTTTAATTGGTTTGAGTTTAATGGGTACATTAGTTAGAATTTTTATTTTTGGACTTTTCTTTTTTACTTCTGGCTTTTTGTTTTCCACTTTTTTTGGTCTTTCAAATAGATTTTCTTGTGATTCAAAGAAATGTTTGATTTTCTCATGCCATAAATATTGGTCTTCTGAGTTCTCATCTTTTTCACATTGTGCGGACATGTGTGTTGGTGGTGATTTTTCTATTTCTGTTGGAAAGATTTCTTTAGGAGGGCGCGATAATGCGTCTGCATTAACATTTTGCGTTCCTTTCTGATACTGAATGGTATATTCGAATTCTTGAAGTTTTAAACTCCATCTTACTAATTTCGAACCAGGGTCTTTGTTAGAAAAGACCGATTGTAATGGTTTATGGTCAGTCACAATCGTAAATTTTCGTCCAAATAAATATGGTCGGAAATATTTCGTAGCCCATTTTATTGCTAATAATTCCTTCTCGATTGTTGAGTAATTACACTCGGCTGAATTAAGAGTTCTACTGCTATATGCAATAGGTAAATCAGATCCAATTGGTCCTTGCGAAAGTACTGCACCAATTGCGTACTCTGAAGCATCAGTTGTTAATACAAAAGGTT